GCCATCCTGGGCCCCCTCTCCCTTCTCCCCCCAGCTATGCCAGCCTGGGCCCTTTCTTTCCCCTCCACCCCACTGTGGCCTAACTTTAATCCCCCACTCCTGGCTGAGACCATGTCAGGCCCCACTCTGCCACCGGGGATGGGAGGGGGGGAAGGTGCTCTGAGGCCTCATGTGTCCCACGTGCTCCTCCTGGCCGCTGGAGTCAGAGTGCGTATGCTCGGAGGCCTTGCATGTCCCACGCTCTCCTCCCAGCTGCCAAGCACGTGGCATGGCAGCCAGCACTGGGGAAAGGGGATGGAGGGGCTGTGAGACACCTGAGTGACATGATGAAATCACTCTCTTGTCCTGTAGGAAAAACTCTCTTAAAGATATTTAGTAAGATTTAAACCTTTTACTAGTAAAGTCACAGAGTTCTTAATGTGAAAGAACTACCATGATGAATTAAATGTTTGTTCTCAAAAAAGATGCATCACTTAGCTGAAATGTATTATATATCTGAGGATTTTGGGCAATTAGCAAGTAAGAGCCTATACAAGATGTTTAGGAAGAACTACCTGACTCAGAGGAATGTTACAAAACTTGCTTGACCGACCCTACTATAGTCCAGTGTGTAAAATCGAATGTCCAGACATCCCAGTATTCTAGTCTCCTAAAGATGCCTTGATACTTCAGCAGTGGTTGTGATATGAGAAGCTAGCTGGTTATGATGAATGTAGGGTTGCCAGGTGTCCTGTTTTGAACTGGACAGTCCAGTATTTGAACTTTCTGTTCGGGAAACAAATTGAGAAAATATAAATGTCCAGTATTTTCTAAATAAGATGTAATGTAGACTGTGATGTAATGTCAAGTGTGTCTGGTATTTTTGTTGAAACCATCTGGCAACCCTAGATGAATGGATAGCTAAAATTCTTTTTCAGTGACTGACTGACACAATATATTAATTATGAACTCTCATTTGAAATGTTGTTTGGTTCACAAATGAGAATGAATGTTATGGTCTCAGCCTAGTTTTCCTGACCCTTTTTGTGTATGTTACAAACTTTCTCATAATTTGGCATTTTAGTTATTATTATTAGCCAACACTTAATGCAGTGTGAAAGATGTATAAAATCACCTGATAGGTTTTTGTAACAATTCAGGCTTTATAATAGTTCAGACTTCTATTAATTTATATGCTTTGTCGAAGAGCTAACTTTTTCATTTGTGTTTCGTGTATTGATTTCCTTAGCTGATGACCTCAGTGCCAATGAACAGCTTGTAGGTCCTCATGCATCAGGAGTTAACTCAATACTACCAAAAGAGCATGGGAGTCAGTTCTTTTATCTGCCAATCATAAAACACAGTGACGATGAGGTAAATTACTAGTAAACTTCCCTCCTGATAATTGATGTGCATTTATGCTTGCTTTCTGCTTTGTGTTTTTATTATGTATTTAATTTCTATTGCTAGTTACGTATCAAATTCATTATAAATGTTAATTTATTGTTTATGTTAATACTTTTGGTGCTGGGATCATTCTTTCATGTTGAGGCTATGCAGGTAACTACCCATATTTAGAAAATTATTTATAGTCTTGCGTTCTGTTGCACTTTGTCAGAGTAGAGTTGCTAATGAGGGGGAAATCTCGCTCCCCTGGGGTACAGAGCCCCCAGAAGGGTCCGAGGCCGGAGGTCAAATCAGTGAGGCACGAGAGTAACCTAGAAGAGAAAACTTTATGATGCATGCATGCAGGCTGTCACTTCCAAGAGTGAAGCAGCAGCCCTGACAGACAGATTCAGGTATCCTATATACAGAATGCTTAGACAGTTCAGTTGTGGATTGTTCTTCTTTAACATATCAAAGTCTCAGCAGAAGTACTCTGAGACTTCTGTTCACCCCAGGAGTGCTAGAAGTAAATTTTACAGAACAAAGCCACATGAGAACTTGAGTGGAGGAGTCTACAAGGCAAACTGTGACAAAGATAAGGGTTTACATGACAAATTGTGACAGACTAGGAGTATCCATGAATTTGAGATGGGAGGCATTGTAAGGGTCTTGATTAGAGCTAATTTGATTTCTCTCTGTTACAGGGAGAGAGGTCTGGAAAACTTTTAACCCTTACAGCAGTTTTCTTTAGAGAGTTTTGATATCCTGCACAGTCCCTCCTTTAGACACAATTGGAGTTATTTGATTTTTCTCCCACACTAACAAATTCTGTTTCTGGTAATAATATTCTGCATCCCCCCCCTTTTTTGAGGTTTTTTTTTTCCAGTTTATTTGGATGAGATATTCCTTGTTTCCTGTGCTAAACTGTTGCATATTGATGTTTGATGTCAAAGAGCTGCCAAATCCTCCCCAGAATTAGCTATATTTCAGTGATGGATGAAGAGACCCATATTTGATTATTTTTTTTTCAGTTTAAAGGTATAAAGCATTTAAAAAAATATAGTGCTTTGTGGCAAAGTCGGGCCCCCCGGTCAGCGTCGCCGCTGCCGGTCCCCTCTCTCGCCTATATCCCCCACCCACAGTCTCGGCCCCCGAGTCCTGAGCCTTCTGTCCTGGCCCCCGGGTTTGTGGCCGCCGCGCCCGGGCTTTCGCTCAGCCCGCGGGCTCTGGCGGGCCCCCCGCGCCGCAGGGGTTGGCCCTCAGTCAGGCCCGACCTTCGGTCCTCCTTGGGTGCAGGAGGCGGGGCCATCCGTCTGCGGCCTCGATCCTCCGGGCCCCCGGCTGGGGAGTCTCGTCACCCTGGGCAAGGGCTGCGCGGGTCCGGACCCCCTCCTCCGTCCCGCTGGCTCCTCCGGCTCCGCTCTCCTGGCTGCCTGCCCAGGGGAAATGCCGGCAGCTCCTTTCCCTTCTGTCCCCTCCCCCTTTTGAGCCGGCACGCCAGGGGCGTGCCACTCCCCCTTGAGTCTCCCATCCGCCTCCTCCTGGGTCCCGCCGCCTACCGTGCCCGACGCGCCTGCGGCCGCGCGCCCCCGCTCCTCTCCCCGGGAGCTTTCCCCCGGGCTCAGCTCCACCGCGCCGCTTGGCGCCTCTCCAAGGGAGGGGCTGGCAGTGCGGGGAGCTTCTTCCCCGTCACATGCTTGTACACTTTTTTTGGTGCTTCATCTCAAGAACAGATGGCCTGAAAGTTGTTGATAAGGGTTATTTTTTTAGGTCTCTTTGTGCTTTTTTATCGTAGCAATACCATGGATGTTGTCTAGTGCATCTTGTATTTTATAGAAGATTTATTTGGGATTTTATAGAATGTAAACTTTTAGCTCTTATTGCTTAACTTGGAGAAGTGGGAAATGTTGACTCTTTTCAGAAAAGATTTTAAATGTCTAAACATCTTTTCCTCTCTGGGTTGGTAAGCTTATACCTTCTTGTCCCTTGCGATGTTATTATTTCACTTGTTCTGTAGTACCTAAAATATCTTCAAAAACTAGAAAATGTCATAATTTCCAAAGTAAGAAATAGATTTTTTTCCCAAGGCTATCATTAATTGCAGTTAACTCATGTGATGAACTCAAAAAATTAATAATTAAAAATAAATCGTGATTAATTGCCATTTTAATTGCAAATAGAAAACTAAATGAAATATTAAATATGTTTGGATTGTTTTTTTCAACTATATTGTCTTCAGTACAATGCAGGATACAAAATGTACCATGCTTACTGTAAAAAAAAAAAAAAAAAAGTATACTGTAAAAATAAAATAATCTTTTCAATTCACCTCATACTTGTACTTCAGTGCAATCTCTTTATCATGAAAGCACAGTTTACAGATGTATATTTTTGTATGACATAACTCCCCTAAAAAATATAAAACTTTAAACCCTGTAAGTCCACTTAGTCTGACTTCTTGTTCATCAGACAGTAAAACACAAATTCTTTATTTACGTTTTCATAAGGAAATGAGACAGGCATTCGCATGGTACTTCTGTTGCCAACGTTGCAAAGTATTTACATGAGAGAGATGCTAGACATTTCTATGCCCCTTCATGCTTCAATAGCTATTCCAGAGGATGTGCTTCTATGCTGATTATGCTTGTTTAAAAAAGGTGTTTGTTAAACATTTGACTTAACTCCTTGGGGGAGAATTGTATGTTTCCTGCTATGTTTTATCTGCATTCTGCCATGTATTTCATGTTAAAACAGTCTTGGATGATGACCCGGCACATATTGTTCTTTGTAAGAACATTTCTTCTGGAAATGTCTAGAGGTCTAGAAAACATGAGCTCTGAGGGAAGACTGAAAGAGTTGGGCTTGTTCAGTTTAGAAAAGAGAAGACGGAGAGGGGACATGATAGCGGTTTTCAGGTATCTAAAAGGTGTTAAAAGGAGAAGGGAGAAAAATTATTCTCCTTGGCCTCTGAGGATAGGACAAGAAGCACTGAGGTTAAATTGCAGCAAGGGAAGTTTCGGTTGGACATTAGGAAAAGCTTTATAACTGTCAGCTTCATAATAGTGGAATAAATTGCTTAGAGAGTTGTGGAATATCCATAACTGAAGATATTTAAGAACAAGTTAGATAGACAACTATCAGGGATAATCTTGTTCGGGGTGGGCAAGACAGGGTCTACAGGCCAGATCAGGTCCTCCAAGTCATTTATCCTGCCTGTGGTATGCCAGCCACTCCCCAGCTCCCAGGCCAACTTCCCCCCGCCAGGGGCACATGGCACCAAAGAGAATGGCCAGCTATTCAAAATGTCTGGCTGCTCCCTCTAGGTGCCACATGACCTGGCAGGCTGGTAAAGACTTCACACACTCCCCTGCTCCCAGGCCAGCCAGGGTCTGTGGGTGGGGGAGCATGCAAAGTCTCCTCCCCCCTCCAGGAATACAGGCAGTCCCCGGGTTACGTACAAGATAGGGACTGTAGGTTTGTTCTTAAGTTGAATCTGTATGTAAGTCGGAACTGGCGTCCAGATTCAGCCGCTGCTGAAACTGACCGCCAG